ACGGTGTGTAGGCCATATCTAGGATGCGTCCGAACACGACAGGGGTGCAGCCTGATTTTCAGGCATTTAAGGACAGTTTTTGGCACGGTGTGTAGCCATGATCGGGACCGTCTTGATTGCAGCAGGAATGCAACTTGATTTCCAAACATCTCTAGGCAGTTTTTGGGACACTGTGTGCAGGCAATATCCAGGATATGATAGGGAGGCAACCTGATTTTCATTTATTTCATGCATTTCAAGGTAGTTTCTGGGAAGCGGTGTGCAGCCAAGTTTGGGACGTGTCTAGGCCATCGTAGGGATGTAGCCTAACTTCCAGGCATTTCTAGGTAGTTTTTGGGACACGGTGTACAGGCCATGTCCAGGACGCAGTAGGGACGCAACCTAATTTTCAGGCATTTCTAGGCAGTTTCTGGATCACGGAGTACAGGCCATGTCTGGGACACGACAGGGATGTAGCCTGATTTCCAGGCATTTCTAGGCAGTTTCTGGGACACTATGTATAGGCCATGTCCGGGACGCATCCAGACCACGACAGGGACGCAGCCTAATTTTCAAGCATTTCTGGAAGTTTTTGGGCATGGTGTGTAGGTCATGTCCTAGAAGTAGCCTAATTTTTCGATATTTCTCGTCAGTTTCTGGGTCTGGTCATTTTTAGGACACTTTCATGCCACGACAGGGACAGAGCATGATTTTCAAGTAATTTCAGGCAGTTTTTGGGCACGGTGTACATGCCATGTCCGGGACGCGTCCTGGCCAGGTAGGGACGTACCCTGATTTTCAGGCATCTCTAAGTAGTTTGTGGGCACGGTGTGCAGGCCAAGTCTAGGACGCATCCTGGCCGCGATAGAGATGCAGCCTAATTTTTAGGCATTTCTATGCAATTTTTGGGACTCGGTGTGTAGGCCAAGTTTGGGACATGTCATGACCACAGTAAGGATGCAGCCTGATTTCCAGGCAATTTCTATGTCAGAGGGTTTTGGGTTTTTTTAATTAATTTAGAATTAAAACCAAGAAATATATACGTGACAAAGAATAATGAAAATAAAATGTAGCTCAACGTTACAACCCATGAATAATAAAACTAGTCTACACAATAAAACTAAACTTCCCACCGTCGCAGTGCGACAAATAAACCCCTCGCGCAGGTGCATGGTAGTGGTGATGGTGATGATGAAGAGAAGGTGCCCGTGCTGTAGATTGGTGGTCGAACTGATGTTTATCGGACACAACCATAACCTCTAGCTTTTGACCCTTCTGACAATGTTCTTCAGCTCCACTGATGAAGAAAAATGGACCTAATTTTTCTAGTGAAATTGTAGTCTCTCCATCATGGTGTTATTTTATTAGATTGGCGTTGTTGCAGATTTTTTAGTCTTTCTCAATCACTTCCAGCACTGAATTAGTCTTGAAATCATACTTCAGAACTAAAGAATCTCCAATCTGAAAATGAGTTTTCTTAGCCCATTTGTTGAACTTGTCAACAAAAGATGGAACTGCCCATAAATTATTTTCACCGCCTACTACGAACTCACTTGCTTCAAAAAGAACACACAGCAAAAACACGATGATCGAAAATAAGAAAATATTTTTGAGTGCAGCCATTTTAAGCGAAAAACCAAAAGATTTTTAAATAAAATTTGACTAATTTTGTAAACAATAGAGTAGAAAGGATTAGGGTTTTGGGTTTTTTTTTTTTGTTTGGTAAAGGCATCCACACATCCTTAATGACTTTTTAGGGTCCACCAAGGAAGGTCGATGGGGATTAAGGGTTCCCCAACCATATTTATTTCATAAAAATCAAGAATACACGGAAGGAGGGGGGCATGAACCTGACCTCCAAAAAGTAGTGATGCCACAACTGAATATAATAAAATGAAAGCAATAAACGAGGAAGTATTACTTCCCTATAAAATAAAAATAGTTTAATAATCATAGCCTAAATTACGAACCTCTAAAACTGGGCAATCCATGTCTGTCGATCTGCACTAGTGCCCTAATATGTCGAGGCAGTTCTAGTGGTCCATACTCTAGATAGCGCCGATGATTCCAGCCTTCTGTAGTAAGAGAGTCAGCAACCTGGTTGCCTTCTCTATAGATATGCGAAACTGTGTCTCTATCGAAGTAGATGAGGTCTCTGATCTGTCTAAGAATACCCTGAATCGACCATGGTCCTCCACCTTTGGTGATGTAATGAATAGCCAATGTTGAATCTGCCTCAAGCCAGATAGCTGAAATCCCAAGTCCTCTGGCCAATAGAAGCCCATCTAGTATGGCTCTGAGCTCAGCCTCCAAAATGAAACATGGGCCATACGATGCTGAGAGTGCCCTGATACAGTATCCTTCGTGGTCCCTAATGATGCCTCCACCACTTGCAAATCCATCTTTGATGCATCCATCAGTGTTGATCTTGTAGGATCCAACTGGTGGAGTGCACCAAACAACCATAATAGGTGGTGGTGAGAGAAGATGGGTCAAAGAAATGCCAAAAAAGGGTACAAGTGTCACATCTCCTCGCCAATGCTCAACTCGAAATAGTCCTCCCATATGAAGAAAGGAGATCATGCGGTAGACCCTCCAAATAATATGTCTGGCCACCATACGAATACCTCTATGCTTCACGTCATTCCTCTCAGTCCATAGAAACCAAAATATTAGTAGAGGAATGATAATACGAATGTGTCCACGGCAAACGTGCTGTCCAGAATACTGCCATCTCTGGAACCTCTGTCTGATCCCTTCTCCTGAAGTCATAGGTATCTGAAAGATGTCTCCAAAGTGAGGACATACCTAGTCGGAGATGCTGCTGCTCGTGAAAATATGATTGATGGTCTCAATCTCGGAACAACACTGACAATGAGAAGCCAACTGACATCCAATTCTCCTATGAATAACAACATCTACTGGAATGAGATCCTGCCATAGTCTCCAGCAGAAGAATGAAATAGTGGCAGGCAAAATAAAGCTCCACAGCAGTCGATATGAGTCTTGAGGCTAGCGAACCGAATGGACTAGTTGCCATGCTGATTTGGTTGTAAAGTCACCATCCGAAGTAATTTTCTAAATAATTCAGTCTAGGGCATCTGCATATATAGGTATCGCCCCTATCTGTTCCACCATGTGAGAAGGAAGGGCCTGTAATAACCGTCCAAAATCCCACCCAGTGTCATCAAAAAAATCCTGTACCCTCACAGATGTGTGCTGTCTGTGGGGGGAATAGGGATGCCAACGTGGACTCGCCCATCCAACAATCATGCCAGAAGAAAATCTGACTGGCTCCAAGGTGCCAAGCAATGTATGGATCCGTCCATGGCCCAACTGATTTCAGCCTCTTCCAGGTAGGGGAAGCTGAACTGGGAACTGCTGCAAGTAAAGGATGCGTCCCCTTACAATACTTGCCCAGTAAAAACTGAGCCCAAAGTGACCTCTGAGATCGGAACAACCACCAGAGCTTCATGGAGAAGGTGTCCACCACATCATGTAATCTCCTAAAGCCGAGGCCTCCCTCATCAGTAGGAAGGCAGATCTCCTTCCAACTCCTCCAATGTAGACGTCGTGCTTGATCCTTAGAATCCCATAGGAATCGGGCAAAGATGCTCTCAAGTTTCTTCAGCACTGCCTTAGACAGCTGTATAATCTGAAGAAGATGTAAAGGTATGGAAGAAAGTACTGACCTCAGTAATGTAATACGACCCCAGGCGATAGTAATCGTGAGGCCCAACCTGATATCCTATCCCTTATCTTCTGGATAAGGTCATCATAAAGGAAGCTCCTCTTAGTCCCCTTGAATAAGGGGACACCCAAGTAGCCAGTCAAAATCTCTAGTCGTCTAATCTGACTAGTGGATGCCTGCTTGGATAGTATAATATCACTCTTGTCTCTATTCACCAATTGGCCAGAAACTCCTTCATAGTGCTCCAAGCAGTTTAAGACCCTCCTGATAGACTGTTTCTGACCATTGGCAAAGATGATCATATCTTCAGCAAATGAGAGATGTGAGACAAGAGCACTACCTCCATGTCGATAACACATACTGGGATACTCCTGAAACCTCTGAGTGAGCAAGCGTGAGAAGTAGTCTGCTGCAATAATGAACAAGGATGGGGAGATAGGATCACCCTGTCTGAGTCCTCGTAAGGAGTGGAAGAAACCACATGGGCGGCCATTTAGGAGTACGGAGAAACGACACTCCGAAACGCACCACCTGATTCTGTCAATCCAGATCTGATCAAATCCAAATACCTCAAATACAGAATAAATCAAGCCCCAGTCCATGCAGTCATATGCTTTAGCCATGTCTAACTTCAGATGGTGTTTCCCCCTCACACTCTATCATCCAAAGTGTAGAGAAGCTCCTGAGCCAATAAAACATTATCTCCAATCAGACGGCCTGGGATGAAACCACTCTGTGGAGGGAAAATAATGCGCGGTAGCAGTGTACTCAACCGAGTGTTCAAAAGCTTAGTAATAATCTTATTGAACACTGTGCATAAGCTAATTGGTCTGAATTCAGTCCATCTGCAAGCACCAACCTTCTTAGGTAGCAAGACAATAGAAGTAGCAGCAAAACCCCGTGGAAGATGACCACCATCAAAGAAGTCCAATACCGCCCTGTAAACATCCTCCTGAATGATATCCCAGCAATGCTAGAAAAATAGGGATGAGAAGCCATCCGGGCCAACAACACTGTCAGCATCAATACTGAAAACTGCCTCCCGTACCTCATGAATCAAAGGGGAGCGGTTTAGTGCCAAATTATCGTCCTCCGTCAATAGCCTCAGAATGACATCAGAACGGATGTGGTCCAAAGGTTATGGAGGAGTAGATAAGAGATCCTGGTAGAAAGCAATAGTCGAGGTCTGAATATCAGCAGGAGTAGCTAAGACTTCCCCTGCCTGTGTCCCGATGGACCTAATACGCGATCTAATACGGCGTCCTTGAACCATCGCATGGAAGTATCGAGTATTGTGATCTCCTTCACATACCCAACGTGAGCCAGCCCTTTACTTCCAAAAGCCCTCCTCAATAGATAAAGTCTGCTTCAAAGCTGCCTGAACCTGATCTAGTATGTCACGATGTTCCGGTGTAGGGTCACTGTCAAATACAATCTCTGACTCATCAACCCTATCCTCAGCATCCCTCACTCGTAGGAAAATGTCTTCAAACACATGTCGATTCCACCAGTTCAGTCCCTGTTTCATCCTGAAGAATTTCTCCCAAAGAGCAGCCATCTCCGTAAGATGAGTAGGGAGTGACCACTTCTGAGAGACAAATGCTAAAAAGTCATGATGCTTAGTCCAAACGTTGAGGAATCTGAAAGGCCTAGGCCCCAAGTCATCATCAGAAGTCCACTGAAGTAATAAAGGTGAGTGATCAGATGAAGTCTTGTTCAAGTGCTTCACTGTAAACTGTCGACAAAGTGCTGGAGCTGAAGAATTAATGAGTACTCTATCCAATCTCTTCCTGACCCGACCATTGGTCCAAGTGTATAGATTCCCAAGGAAACCTGCATTCTCTAAACCACTGTCCAACATCATATCAGAAAAAGCTGTAGTGCCTCGATCACGGGTATTATAACCTGTGCGCTCTCCATCATGAGTAATAACGTAAAAGTCTCCCCCCAACTATCCAAGGGTCATCCATATCAAGAGAGATGTGGTGAAGACCCGCCCACAAATCCCTCCTGACAGAAGCATCACAAGAAGCATAAACTGGAGTAAAATAGATGGGACGAGCTAGTCTGGGGTAATCAACTTTAACGTGAAGAAACTGGGGTGATCAACAATAATAGTAACATTAGTCCCCGAGTTCCAGAAAAACTAAATCTTATTCGATTCATTCTGAGCTCCCGTATCGAAGCACAAATAGCGTCGAATATATGCAACGCTGTGCTGAAGAACAAAGGGCTCCAGTATAACCAAAAGATAAACCTGATGAAGCTCTATAAGTTTCTTCAGGCGCCGACGAGTAGCTACACTAGCTACACCTCTCACATTCCAAATGATGGTACTCATAGGGAAGGAGAATGTGAAGAGGTATCATGTGACTGACTCCTGGTGATCCTTCTGCTATGATGTGGAGTATCAGTAGCCCGTGGGTGTTTCTTTCTTGTGACTCAGACAAAATCGTCATCCTCTGATCTACCAGCCATACCCACCAAATCCTCAACAGAAGACCTACGGAACACACCCTGCTGATGGACCTCAATCTGTGATGTAGCTTCAGTATCTGATTGATCAGACTCTACTGAAGGAATAGAAGCTTCAATGTTCTGTTGACAAACAAGTGGAGAGCTAGAGGCAGGATTACCAATACGACCAGGTGTAGGGCCGGGAAGCTGTCTGACAACTGTATCTATAGCCTCTGAATCATGTGTTCGTCGAGACATGTCGTGAACCAAGGGGTCAGTGTAATCACTATCAATATTAATAACAGGCTGTGATAGAGCCAAGGCTGGTGTAATGGCACTCGAAGGAGCAATAGTGTCTGGAGCTACTGACTGCACTATTGGAGGATTAACTAAAGCAGTGGCTACTATGGATGCAATTGATTGGGCTACAGTAGGTGGATCCGCTTGGGAAACATGTGCACCTGATGTGCTAGCCTGCTGTCTCTTCTGCTCTCTATGAACTGGGGTCCACCTCTGACGTGGCTCACCCTGAATTGCCTTTCCCTTGTCCTTATCCTTAGCAGGGATAACAAGTTTAGGGATAGGCTCAACAACAGGAGGTGGTGCTGATCTTATGCCAAGTTTACACTGAACTTCTAAGTACCCAAAATGTCTACATTTATAATAAAATTCTGGCTTCTGGTCATATATAACTTGTTGCCAATAGCCACCAATCTTTTCCCTCTCAATCCAAACTCTGTCAGGGAGATCGTAGTCCAAATTAACCTCCACACGTACTCTAGCATCACTGGGGCGACGAAGATCAGATGTTGCCTCATCGATACGCAACGGAAGGCCAATAGCTTTAGTAATAGCATATAAACTGCTCTTAGCCCGAAAGTGAATAGGTAGCAGTGGAAAGGATACCCAGACTGGAGCAATTGGGGTCTATTGCAGTGGACTAAAGCTTGGAGTCCATTTGAAGACTCTCATAGGAGAAACATCAATATACCACAGTGGTTTGAGGAATAACCGTGCATAGTCATTCTCGTGCACCAAGTGAATCAAAATGTGTGTGGCATCAATTAGACCAATAGTATAATCACCACAAAAACCAAAGCGAGAAAAGTTTTCATGTACCTTAAGCATAGATGGCCTCCAGTGCACAAATTTGCCAACAAGTGTAAACTTGTATGGTTCAGCCAAGACTTCTTCATCTGCCTCTGTGAATAGAACTGCAGGTTCACCATGATGGATGAAAGGGTCCCTAGAAATGAGCTTGTGGTCGATGGATTCTTGTGATGCTTGAAGGATTTGAGAAAAGGACTTCTTTTGACTCCTCTCTGCTTGAGAAACTACTGGCACATTACCAACTGCTGCAGCATAAGATTTTGGACCAGAATGAGCAGTTGTGGAAGTTGCAGTGGCTCGTGGTGTTGCACGTGGTGGTGGGGGTTGCTTGCGTGCAGGAGGGACTCGCGCATTGATGGTACGCACAGTTTGGGATATACTGGGTGGTAATGTGTTGATCCTTGGAGTTTTCCATGATTTGGAGCCAGTGGTGTAGTTCCTGGGATCAAAGGAGGTCCAAAAACATTAGAAGGATTTGCCTCGATATGTGTGCCACTTTGGCACGTTTCCCAATGCAGATTTCCCGTCATTTTCAGCCGGAACAACGGTCTCCCCAAAGGTTTTCATATGCTCTGGAGATGATGGCAGTGTCAAAAATACAAAATTCTACCCAAAAACAACGGTACCAACTGCCTCGGTTTGTGTGCATTTTGGCACGTTTGATTCCAAGATTCGGCAAATTAATGATGTAATCTCAGCAATAAGAACATTACTCAGAGTATTTGGGGCTTGAATTTCATTTACCCCACATTTAATTGCAGAATCGAACACATTTGTGGGGTCAATTAAGAGAGAATCGGACTTTTGACCTTGAGGGATTGGATCCGTTCGATTTGCGAGATTGGGATGAAATTGGTGAAGACCCATATGATGTGGATGTTTCCCATGATGAGAGGAGTAGATATTGCGTGGTTTGCCATTGTGGGTCCCACTGGTGGCGTCGAAAAATTGAAAGAGAGGCAGCGATTCGGCAGGCAGCATAGCCGGGAATTTCAGATGCAATTCCAATTGATTGGAGGCTCCATATGTTGAACGGAAACCATGGTTGTGATCGTCTAGAGGAGAGATATCGATCGGCAGTGGTGCGCCGGCATGGGTATCACCGGAACAGTGATTTTCGGTAGAAAAGGATTGCGGCAAATCCAGGTTTTGGGCTCCATTTTCATCAGATTTCGGCGAGTTTATTGCCGGTGGTTGGGTGTAGGTTATAGAGAGAAGTGAGGTGGTTCTATTGGTGGTCGGATCCAGTGGCCATGGTGGCCGGAATGCAGCCGGATGGGGTTCCATTTTGGGTGACTAGAAATCTCCAAAAATCACCTATCTCTAGATTTGGTAGTGACGTATTAGATTCCATTTTCATCAGATTCCATTTTGAGCTCACGATTTGGTGGATTATGGTTTTGGGTTTCGAGTTCAGGGTCTAGGGTTCAGCATCCAAAGTTCTAGGTTCACGATCCAGGGTCCAGGTTTCAGAGTTTAGGCTTAGGGCTTATGGTTTAGGGTTTAGGGTTTCTGGTACACGGTGTGCAGGACAAGTCCAGGACGTAGGCTTATTTTCAAGCATTCCTAGGTAGTTTTTGGGACACAATGTGCAGGCCATGTCCAGGACCCGTCCTGGCTGCGGCAGGGACTCAACCTAATTTTCAGGCATTTCTAGGCAGTTTGTGGGCACGGTGTGCATGCCATGTCTGAGACGCGTCCTGATCGCAATAGGGATGAAGCCTTATTTTCAAGCATTTCTAGGCGGTTTGTGGGCATGGTATGCAGGTAATGTTCAGGATGCTTTCCGGCCACATTAGGGATGCAAGCAGATTTTCAACCAAATAAAGGAAGCACGGTGTGCAGGCCATGTCAGGGGCGCATGCACGTTCCTAAGTATTCTGGGCAGTTTTTGGGACACGGTGTACAAGCCATATTCTTGATAAGTCATGGTCACGATAGGGACACAGCCTGATTTTCAGGCATTTTTCAACAGTTTTTGGGTACTGTGTGCAGGCCATGTCCGGGACGCAACCTAATTTTCAGGCATTCAAGGTAGTTTCTGGGTCAAGGTGTGTAGGCCATGTCCAGGACGCATCCGACCCATGGTAGGGATGGAGTCTGATTTTCAGGCATTTCAGGGCAGTTTTTGGGCACAGTATACAGGCCATGTCTGGGACGCGTCCTGATCACAGCAAGAACACAACCTGATTTCTAAGCATGTCTAGACAGTTTTTAGGACATTGTGCAGGCAATGTCCAGGATACGGTCGGGACGCCGCCCGATTTTCATGTATTTCTAGGCAGTTTCTGGGAAACTGTGTGTAGCCCTGTCCGGGATGCATCTAGGTCGCGGCAGGGACGTAACCTAATTTCCAAGCATTTCTAGGTTGTTTACGAGACACGGTGTGCAGGCCATGTCCAGGTTACGGCAGGCACCCAACCTAATTTTCAGGCATTTCTAAGTAGTTTCTGGGACACGTTGTACGGGCTATGTCCGGAACACGGCATGGACGTAGCTTGATTTTCAGGCACTTTTGGGCATGATGTGTAGGCCATGTCAGGGATGCGTCCTGGCCGCGATAGGGACATAGCCTGATTTTTAGTTATTTCATGGCAATTTTTGGGCACAGTGTGCATGCTATTTCCAGGCCATGTCTTGTACAGGCCATGTCCAGGAAGCGACATGGCCAAGGTGGGGACGCTACTTGATTTTCAGGCATTTATGGGCGATTTTTGGGCATTGTGTGCAGGCCATGTCTCGGACACGTCCTATCTCTGCAGGGACGTAGCCTGATTTTTAGTCATTTCTAGGCAGTTTCTAGGTCACAGTGTGCAAGCCATGACCAGGATGCGGCAGGGACGTATCCTTATTTTCATGTATTTCTATGCAGTTTTCTAGGGCACGATGTGCAGGCATTGTCCAAGATGCGTCTGGGCCACGGTAAGGATGCAACCTGATTTCCAGGCATTTCTAGGTAGTTTCTGCGACATGGTGTGCAAGCCATGACCGGGATGCGTCCGAGCCACAGCAAGGACGCAGCCTAATTTTCAGGCATTTTGGGAAGTTTTTGGGCACCGTGTGCAGGCCACGTTCGGGACGCCTCCTTGTCGTAGTAGGGGGCTTAGCCTGATTTTCAGGCATTTGTAGGCAATTTGTGGGTACGGTGTGCAGGCCACGTCCGGGACACGTCTTGGCCGCGACAGGGACGCAGCCTGATTTTCTGGCATTTCTTGACAATTCCTGGGACTTGATGTGCAGGCCATGTCCGGGTCGTGTCATGGCCACAACAGGGATGGAGACTAATTTTCAGGCATATTTTTGCAGTTTCTGGGACACGGTGTGCAGGCCATGTCCAGGATGCGACAGGGACGTATCCTGACTTTCAGGTATTTTTTGGCAGTTTCTGGAACATGATGTGCAAGCAATGTTCGGGACGCGTCAGGGCCGCGGCAGGGATGCAGCCTGGTTTTTAGGCATTTCAAGGCAATTTTCGTGACACGATGTGCAGGCCATGTCTAGGATGCTACAGGGATACATCCTGATTTTCATGTATTTCTAGTCAATTTCTTGGACACGATATGTAGGCAGTGTCCGGGATGCATCAGGGCTGCTGTAGGGATGCAGCCTGATTTTCAGACATTTCTAGGTAGTTTTTGGGACACGATGTGCATGCCATGTCCAGGATGCGATAGGGATGCAACCTGATTTTCAAGCATTTTTGGGCAGTTTCTGGGACACGATGTGCAGGCCATGTTCGGGACGCGGCTTAATTTTTTGGCATTTCTAGGAAGTTTTTGGGCACGGTGTGTAGGCCATGTCCTAGACGCAGCCTGATTTTCTGGTATTTCTTGACAATTTCTAGGACTCGATGTGCAAGTCATGTCCGAGACGCGTCATGACCACGACAGGGACGGAGCCAAATTTTTAGGCAATTTTTGGCAATTCTGGGATACGGTGTGGAGGCCATCTCTAGGTTGCGACATGGACGTATCTTGACTTTCAATTATTTTTATGTAATTTCTGGAACATGGTGTGCAGGCAATGTTCGGGTCGCGCCTGGGCCGCGACAGGGATAGGGTCTGGTTTCCAGACATTTCTAGGTAGTTTTTGGGACACGATGTGCTGGCCATGTCTAGGATGCTGCAGGGACACATCTGATTTTCACGTTCTTCTAGTCAATTTCTTAGACACGTTGTGCAGGCAATGTCCAAGACATGTTGGGACTGCTGCAGGGATGCAGCCTGATTTTCAGGCATTTCTAGGCAGTTTTTGGGACACGATATGCAGGCCATAATTGGGACGCATCCTGGCCGTGGTAGGGACACAGCCTGATTTTTTGGCATTTCTTGACAATTTCTGGGACTTTATGTGCAGGCCATGTCCGAGACGCATCATGGCCACAACAGGGACGGAGACTGATTTTCAGGCATTTTTTTGCAGTTTCTGGGACACGGTGTGCAGGCTATCTCCAGGATGCAACAGGAACGTATCCTAACTTTCAGGTATTTTTTGACAATTTCTGGAACACGATGTGCAAGCAATGTCCGGGACGCGACAGGGCGGCAGGGATGCAACCTGGTTTCCAGGCATTTTTAGGCAATTTTCGGGACACGATGTGTAGGCCATGTCTAGGATGCTACAAGGATACATCCTGATTTTCACGTATTTCTAGACAATTTCTTGGACACGATGTGCAGGCAGTGTTTGGGATGCACAGGGCTGCTGCATGGATGCAGCCTGATTTTCAAACATTTCTAGGCAATTTCTGGGACACGGTGTGCATGCCATGTCCAGGATGCGATAGGGACGCAACCTAATTTTCAAGCATTTCTGAGCAGTTTCTGGGACACGATGTGTAGGCCATGTCCGGGACGCTTCAGGGCCACAGCAGGGACGCAACCTAATTTTTTGGCATTTCTGGGAAGTTTTTGGGCACGGTGTGCAGGCCTTTTCCTAGACGCAGTCTGATTTTCTAGCATTTCTTGACAATTTCTAGGACTCGGTGTGCAGGTCATGTTCGGGACGCGTCATGGCCACGACAGGGACGGAGCCTAATTTTTAGGTAATTTTTGGCAATTCTGGGACACGGTGTGCAGGCAATGTCCAGGTTGCGTCTGGGATACGGTGAGCAGGCCACGTCCGAGATGCATCCGGGCCACGGCGGGGTCGCAGCCTGATTTTCAAGCATTTTTGAGAAATTTTTGTGCATGGTATGCAAGCCTTGTCCTAGATGCAGCCTGATTTTCAGGTAATTCTCTTTAGTTTCTGGGTCACGGTGTGCAGGTCATACCAAGGATGCGTTAGGGCCACGGCAAGGATGGAGCTTGATTTTTAGGTAATTCCAAGTAGTTTCTGGGGACGGTGTACAGGCTATGTCCGGGACGCCTCCTGGCCAGGTAGGGACGCAGCCTGATTTTCAGGCATTTTTAGACAGTTTGTGGACACGGTGTGTTGGCCAAGTTTGGGACGCATCCTGGCAGTGACAGAGACGCAGCCTAATTTTCAGGCATTTCTAGGAAATTTCTAGGACTTGGTGTGCAGGCTAAGTCCAAGGCTCGTCATGGCCACGGCAGGGACGTAGTCTAATTTTGAGGCATTTCTAGGTAGATTCTGGGTCGTAGGGTTTAGTGTTTAGGGTTTAGGGTTTTTCTTCAATTAATTTTGAATTAAATGCAGGAAATATATACATGACAAAGAATAATAAAAATACAATGTAGCTCCACATTACAACCCATGAATAATAAAATTAGTCTACACAACGAAACCAAACTTCCCACCGTCGCAGTGCCACAAATAAACCCCACCACCGCTTTTAGACCAATACCATCATTAGTCGGGGCTAGCGTTAGTGCATGGTAGTGGCGACGGTGATGATGAGGAGAAGGTGGCTACGCTATAGATTAGTCACTGGAGCCATGTTTATCGGACAGAACCATAACCTCTAGCTTTTGACCCTTCTGGCAATGTTCTTCAGCTCCAATGATGAAGAAAAATAGACCTAATTTTTCTAGTGAAATTGTAGTTTCTCCATCATGGTGTGATTTTATTGGATTGTCATTGTTGCAGATTTTGTTGTCTTCCTCGGTCACTTCCAGCACTGAATCAGTCTTGGAATCATACTTCAGAACTAAAGAATCCCCAATCTGAAAATGATTTTCTCAACCCATTTGTTGAACTCGTCAACAGAAGATGGAACTGGCCATAAATTATTTTCACCGTCTATTACAAACTCTCTTGCTTCAGAACGAACACACAACAAAAACACGACAGTCGAAAATAAAAAAAATAATTTTGAGTGAAGCCATTTAAACACGGTGTGCAGGCAATGTCCGGGACGCGATGTTAAAATGGCTTCACTCAAAATTATTTTTTTATTTTCGACCGTCGTGTTTTTGTTGTGTGTTCGTTCTGAAGCAAGAGAGTTTGTAATAGACGGTGAAAATAATTTATGGGCTGTTCCATTTTCTGTTGACGAGTTCAACAAATGGGCTGAGAAAACTCATTTTCAGTTTGGGGATTCTTTAGTTCTAAAGTATGATTCCAAGACTGAGTCGGTGCTGGAAGTGACCGAGGAAGACTACAAAATCTGTAACAACGCCAATCCAATAAAATCACACCATGATGGAGAAACTACAAATTCACTAGAAAAATCAGGTCTATTTTTCTTCATCAGTGGAGTTGAAGAACATTGCTATAATGATCAAAAGCTTGAGGTTATGGTTCTGTCCGATAAACATGGCTCCAGCCACCAATCTACAATGCAGGCACCTTCTCCTCATCATCACCGTCACCACTACCATGCAGCGGTGCCAGCCCCGACTAATGGTGGTACTGGTCTAAAGGCGACGGTGGGATTTATTTGTGTCACTGCGGCGGTGGGAAGTTTTGTTTCGTTGTGTAGACTAATTTTATTATTCATGGGTTGTAACATTGAGCTATATTTTATTTTTATTATTCTTTTTCACGTCTATATTTCCTGCTTTTAATTCAAAATTAATTGAAGAAAAACCCTAAACCCAAAACCCTATGACCTAGAATCTGCCTAGAAATGCCTGAAAATTAGACTGCGTCCCTGTCATTGCCATGACGCGTCCCGAACTTGGCCTGCACACCAAGTCCCAGAAATTACCTAGAAATGCCTGAAAATCAGGCTGTGTCTCTATCGCGGCCAGGATACGTCCTGAACTTGGCCAACACACCGTGTCCACAAACTGCCTAGAAATACCTGAAAATCAGGCTGTGTCCCCACCTGGCCAGGAGGCGTCCCGGACATGGCCTGTACACCGTCTCCAGAAACTATCCAGAATCACCTGAAAATTAAGCTTCATCCCTGCCGTGGCCCTAACGCGTCCTTGACATGACCTGCACACCATGACCCAGAAACTAACAAGAAATGCCTGAAAATCAGGCTACGTCTAGAACAAGGCTTGCACGCCACTCCCAAAAACTTCTAAAAATGCTTGAAAATCAGGTTGCGACTCCGCCATGGCCCGATTGCATCCCGGACGTGGCCTTCACATTGTATCCCAGAAACTGCCTAGAAGTGCTTGAAAATCAGGTTGCATCCCTGCCACATCCTTGACATGGCCTACACATCGTGTCCCAGAAACTACCACAAATGCCTGGAAATCAGGCTACATCCCTGCAGTAGCCCCGACGCCTCCCGACCATTGCCTACACACCATGTCCAAGAAAATACATAGAAATACGTGAAAGTTAGGATGTGTCCCTGTAGCATCCTGGACATGGCCTGCACACTGTGACCCAGAAACTGCCTAGAAATGACTGAAAATTAGGCTACGTCCCTGTCGCGACAGGAAGTGTCCCGGACATGGCCAACACATAGTGCCCAAAAACTGCCCATAAATGCCTGAAAATCAAGCGGTGTCCCTACCGTATCCTGGATATTGCTTGGACAACATGCCCGAAAAACTGTCTAGACGTGTCTGGAAATCAGGTTGCATTTCTGCCGCGATTAGGACGCTTCCCAGGCATGGCTTGTACATCGTGCGAAAAAACTGCCCTGAAATGCTTGAAAATCAGGCTCCATCCCTCCTGTGGCTCGAATGCATCCTGGACATGGCCTGCACACCATAACCTAGAAACTACCTTAAATTGCCGGAAAATCAGGCTACATCCCGGACATGGCCTGAACACAGCGCCCAGAATCTATCGAAAAATGCCTGAAAATCAGGTTGCGTCCCTGTTGTGGCCATGACTTATCCCGAATATGGCATGTACACCGTGTCCCAGAAACTGCCTAGAATGCTTGGGAACGTGCTTGCGCCCCTGACATGGCCTGCACACCGTGCTTCCGTCATTTGGTTGAAAATCTGCTTGCGTCCGTAACGTGGTCGGGAAGCATTGCTTGCATCCCGAACATTGCTTGCATACTGTGCCCACAAATTGCCTAGAAATGCCTGAAAACAAGGTAGTGTCCCTACCACAGCCAGGACGAGTCTCGGACGTGGCCTGTACACGATGCCCACAAACTGCCTAGAAATTCCTAAAAATCAGGTTGTGTCTCTGCCGCATCTAAGATGTGTCCTCGACATGGCCTGCACACTGTGTCCCAGAAACTGCAAACCAGACGCATGACATGATCGATGTCTATGTACTATCACCCAAAGATTTATCCTCGGGAATACCCTTGAGTATTATTCACTAGTTTTTTAGACACCTTTTGTTTAATATCATTTGCGCTTCATTTGAGACATTTGTAATTTTTTTCACTTACAGGAGGTCAGGTTTATGTCGCCCTCCTTTATGTGTATTCTCATTTCCTATATTATAAAATAAGCCACACTAGTGGTATTTGCCAAAAAAAACCCTAAAAAACCCTAAAAAACCCTAAACCCATAACCCTAAAGACTAGATAGAAAAATTCACAGAATTCTCAAAAAATATTTGTATTCCATGGCTTGGCTTTATAAAATGTCTCAAAGGCCTTTTATAGGTACAAAGGATCCCAAATACATTTTATGAACTTAATAGACTAATTAATGATTTTTCCTACATACTATGAATAATATGATACAAAGAATCATTTGGATACATGATTTAAATGAATGCATGAATATTAAATAAACTAATTCATGTATCAAATTTAATTTTTTTTCATTATTCATGAATCATGTTTAATTTCCAACATTCAGAAACTGAGAACGAAGCATGGGCTAATTCGGTTTCCTCTTTGAATTTTCAATTTTAAGTTTAAAATAGAAAATGATTTTGGTTTTTCATTCTAACATACTATTTCTTAAAATAGAAGATTACATTTGATTTAAAATTATGAAAAATTATTTCATGGATTTTTTTATTCAGTAAAATATATTCGCATTCTATTTTTTTAAATGTTGTATAAATTATAACATTCAAATTAACTTGAAATGATAGTATATTTCCAGCTCAAGAAGAAGCGTTGATTCACCAGCCACTGGGTAAGAAATGAGGACACATTTCCTACTGGGATTTCAACTATTGTAATTGCTTTTCAACATAGTAAGTATCTATTTTACATTATATGTTTTAGTTAAAAAAAAAATTTATTGTTTGGCTAGACTTTATTTTTGCAACCAGAAGAAGTTAGTTTTAAGTAATTTTTTAGCTAAAAATTTAAAAAAAAAAAGAAAGAAAGAAAAAAGAAAAAAACTATAAATAGTCATGGGAATGCTAATTCATTTCTTGAATTTGTTGAGGGTTCATTCTATGTTTTAGCGATGATGTTGTTAATTATTATGACTTTTTTGCTATCATCCAATAATATATTAATAATCTATTATATTTTTATGTTCAGGTTTCTCAGCAGCTGAGTCAAAACGGTATGTAACACTCTTCTACAAGAAAAGTATTTTTGTTAACAGTAGCTTTGAAATTAAGTGTTCTCTCACAAATTGGCAATTATAACAAGAATTCTTATAATTGCTTTAAGACATAATTGCTAGATGTCTTGCACACAATTATTCAAAACCACAGCTATGCACTATGCATATATTCCTTGATCATAATATAAAGTGATTTCCTTTCCTTCAATACTTCCCTAAAGTTGGAGCGTGAATGTCAAGAACTCAAATTTTCTAAGTTGTCAGTGAAAAACAACTTATTCCAGTGATTTAGTAAATAACCACCTATTTGTTGTCCCATTTCATTGTAGATTATCTCAATTTCCCCAATTTAATTTTTTTTCTTGTACTGTGTGGTAATCCAACTCAATGTATTTTATTCATTCGTGGTACATTGGGTTAACAGCAACATGCAGACTCTAGCACCAATACTTCAATTATAGACATTCATATGATGAAGTCCTCAATTTCAATCCCTCCGCTTTGTATAAATCCTTTAGCAATAAGTCAAGCCTCACAAACTTGTAAGGTGCTATAAGAATGGTATTTAATGGTATTTAATTTTGAAGACCCATTGCCTGCACACCGTGTCCATGACGCATCCTGGACATGGCATGTATCCCTGCCACGTCCTTGACATGGCCTACACACCGTGTCCCAGAAACTACCTACAAATGCCTGGAAATCAGGTTGCATCCATGAAGTAGCCTCGATGTGTCCCGAACATTACCTGTACATCGTATCTAAGATATTGCATAGAAATACGTGAAAATCAGGTGTGTCTCTGCAGCATTCTGGACATGGCCTGCACACTGTGTCCCAAAAATTGCCTAGAAATGCCTGAAAACCAGGCTGCATCCTTGTCGCGGCCTAGACGCGTCCTAGACATCGCCTGCACACCATTTTCCAGAAATTGCCCAGAAATACCTAAAAGTCAAGATACATCCCTGTCGCATCCTGGACAAGACCTGCACACAGTGTCCCAGAAACTGCCTAAAATTGCTTGAAGATCAGGCTTCGTCCCTACCATGGCCATGACGCATCCCGAACATGGACTGCACACCGAGTCCCAAAATTTGCCAAGAAATACCTGAAAATCAAGCTGTGTCCCTATCGCAGCCAGGACGCGTCGTAGACATGGCCGGCACACCGTGCCCACAAATGCTTGAAAATCAGGCCGTGTCCCTACCGCGGCTAGGAGGCATCCGGAACGTGGCTTGCATACCGTGGCCCAAAATGCCTGAAATCAGGCTGCGTCCCTGCCGTGGCCCTGACGCATCCCGATCATGGCCTGCACATCGTGTCCCAAAAATTGCCTAGAAATGCCTTAAAATCAAGCTGCGTCCTTGATGCGTCCTGGACATGGCCTACACACTGTGTCCAAGAAACTGCCTAGAAATGCCTGGAAATCAGGTTGCATCCCTGTCGTTGCCCTGACGCGTCCCGTACATTGCCTACACACCCCGTTAAAATTGCTTCACTTAAAATTATTTTTTCATTTTCGGCGATCGTGTTTTTTTTTGTGTGTTCATTCTGAAGCAAGAGAGTTTGTAATAGACGGTGAAAATTATTTATGGGCAGTTCCATCTTCTGTTGACGAGTTCAACAAATGGGCTGAGAAAACTCATTTTCAGATTGGGGATTCTTTAGTTTTGAAGTATGATTCCAAGACTGATTCAGTGCTGGAAGTGACCGAGGAAGACTACAAAATCTGCAACAACGCCAATCCAATAAAATCACACCATAATAGAGAAACTACAATTTCACTAGAGAAATCAGGTCTATTTTTCTTCATCAGTGGAGCTGAAGAACATTGCTAGAAAGGTCAAAAGCTTGAGGTTATGGTTATGTCCGATAAACATGGCTCCAACCACCAATCTACAGCGTAAGCACCTTCTCCTCATCATCACGGTCACCACTACCATGCACCCGCGCCAGCCCCGACTAACGGTAGTACTGGTCTAAAGGCGACGGTGGGATTTATTTGAGTCACTGCGATGGTGGGAAGTTTTGTTTCGTTGTGTAGACTAATTTTATTATTCATGGGATGTAACATTGAGCTACATTTTATTTTTATTATTCTTTGTCACGTCTATATTTCCTACTTTTAATTCAAAATTAATTGAAGAAAAACCCTAAACCCT